ATCGATCCATGCAAGCAAGCGATGTACATCCCACGCATAGCGGCCAATCAAACATCACCTGGATGTCTTTGGGAAGTCAGAGCAATCCAGCCAACAGCTGCGTGTGGCTGCAGCAGCCCACCCAACCGGGCTGCGGGGGCTTCAAAAGAGAGCAGAGGTGACCCTTGAACCAACAGCGTCTGGAGCAGGCGAGCTCTTGTTCCCAGCCTTCCGACTTCCTTGGGATCCGTGCAGGAGCTGTAGGATTACTGCACACGTCCTGCAGGAGGGCATCAGGAACAGCGCAGGGGAGGTCCTGCACTACTCAGTGCTCCAGAAAACTCAGAACCGATTCCCAGACGAGTCTTGTAGGGTTTGTTTTCTCCACAGGAATCTTGTGGGTTGTTTTTTTTTAATAACAGGGAATAACCGTAATCATGTGGACAAAGACAAATTTCTTTGAGTGTCGGGAACTGCAAAAGGAATATAGTGGAGTTGAGAAAGACAGGCAGCAATCAACTCCAGAACGTGTCCTGACCCTTAATAAAAAAAAAGTCCAGTTCTGCTCAGCTTCCCTCCCGTTTCCCTGACTCTGCTGTTAAGCCCCCAGAAAACATGAAAAAGTTCAGCTTGACAACAACAGCTTTATGTTGTCGAAGTGCTGAAATTCGGATTTAAAGGAAACAAGCGACACCACACACAGCAAACTCAGATGACGATCTGTGAACTTTAATAATAATTTATTGTACAACACTGCCCTCTTGTGGCTGCGCGTACAAGTGCGCTGACCTAGGTCAGGCGTCTGGGCCTTGTGTCTTTTTGTTCCAACCCTGGCTTAATCAATTAAACAATTGAACTAATTACTTTCTACATCAGACATATAAAGGCTTTTTCTTCTATGAGTTTGAAGTTGTTTACACGCAACATTCACTTCAATAAAGAACAGTCACCTATACAACATCTCGGAGGCTGCTTCAAGATACTGCAATTGTTCCAGTTACTTAAATAATTAGACCAGCTTCATAACCGGGAAAATCACTGGACAAAAACCAAAACACACCGGTCCCCCTGCCTTAGACAATTGAGGACAGTATACACCACCCTGTTTAACTCTCCGTCTAAAGCACTGAGGAGTAATACCGTATCTAAGAGCACCAGGCAAAGACTAGGAGCTGCTGCTGTGTGCTTCAGGAATGCCCACATGCAAAGACGGTTTTCCAGAAATACAATATATAACCCTAGATCGCTTGCAAGCCCATTTCTTTCACAGTGGCAATAATTTTGGATGATAGCAGGAGTATGGAAGCCCGTTTCAGCCAGGAAGTAAAAAAAAAACCGCGCTATTTGAGATACTAAGTCGCAATTCTGAGATACTAAGTCGCAATTCTGAGATACCATAGCGCGTTTTTTTTTTACTCCCTGGCGGAAACGGGCTTCCATAGAAACAGGCTTCCATACAGGAGATTCTGGGAAATTCAGAAAATTGTCCTATGTCGCTGCATCGCCTGGGCTCTATTCAGTGCACCCTCTCCGCCTCAACACTAGGGGGCAGTCATGCTATTTTCAGGACGAATCTTTCTGGGGGGGTTAAGAGCTACCGACTTCCTGTAAGGTCGGAAGCGAGAAATCTTTAATTTTTGCGGTATTGGTATTTGTGATGTTGACTAAATCTTTTTGTGCGAGCAACTCTGTTCAACGGAACATTTCAGGGAACACAGAAACACCATATGAACATGAAGCAATATAAATGATGGAAGAATAGGCCAAAATCAGATCAGATATAGTGATGGAAACGCGACTTTAGGTCTGAGCTTGTTGCTTATTCACTGTGACGGACTGAAAAATGTCCCTTAAAAGCTTTTTCTAATTAAATATTTAGATAGTTTCAGTTTAAAAAATATTTTTGTAAATATTTTGAACCGGGATATTTTCAATTGTAAGGATATAGTCGGATCTAGATCTTGTCTTCTGATGAGTATCGGTGTGACATCAGGAAGAATATGTTGATATGTGGCTAAACTACCAGTTGTTTTGTGCATATATTTCCAGCCTTTTATCAGTCGTGTTTAACGATACTGTAGTCTTCAATATCGATCTTTTATTTTGTATTTGAAAGACATTGTGAATAATCAGATATAAAAATATAATACACGTATGTCGTTAACCCCCCGTCAGTCTTTGTGAACTTCAAAATTCCGATAAGTTGTTGAATTTCATGTTTATATAAACAGCTATGTGTGTTTGCAAATCACTAGTTCCAAACTGTGTATAACATTTCACCCAAATTGCGTGCAAGTCGGTCTCAACTCATGTGTTTAAGAGAGGACTGTCTGGGTTTCATAAACAGCGTCTTGCACCAGCATCATCTGACCTGATCCGTTTTTTATCAACAGCAAACGAACCGCTACGTGAACCTATTTCGTACTTAAAAGCCCACCACCCACCTAATTATTACTGAAACATCAATGTGAAGGCGATTATTGTTATGGCACGGTGTAAGCGTTGTAATGTCAAGACGTTGAAGATGTAGAGATTTGGAAGTTGAAGGCTCGTAGGTGTTATTTCACGTTCTGATTTCTTTCATTGGAGCATTTCGGACAAGACGAAATCGACTTGTTTTGTCCGCTGCCTTGTTATATGCCCCTGGAGGGCAGTCCGGTGTTTGTTACCGGTCACTCGTCTGCGCATGACCGAGTGAGGTCACTGTACACTGTCCTGCCCGAGTGGCTCTCCTCTGTACTGTACTGCATCGCCTCGCCTCCCGCAGGTGAAGGCTCTCTCCTGCGGCCTGTCAACCAGCTATTTCCGTGCCTTTTGAGTGTTCAGGTGAGGAATAGGAACCGCTCCACGACAGCTAGGGTGCGCGGAGTCGTTCAGACTCGTTTCATCGCCATGTTTGTTTTTTTGTAAGCGCGAGGGGCGTTCAGAAAGATTATTTGATGTCCTGAAAATAAAGAAAAATCCTAAAATGATCGTCTGTGAAAAGAGTATAGTACCTGTGCCTTTTCTGCTTGCCGTTTTTAGGTCGCATTAACGTGGTGTGCTTCAAGCCGTAACGAAATGTAATGTGATTGTCAATGTTTGCTTTGTTGTGTTGTTGTTTTTAATAGTAATCATGTCCTCTGTGGACTGTCAGGTCTGCCTGTGTCCAGTGTTAATGGCCGGGCTGTGG